CTCTTTGACATTTGATTCATTGCTGCAACACCTCCCTTTGACAACAATACAGAAAACACAAAGACTGATTGACGCGATGCTCCGGAATATGCATTTCTCTTTCCTTCCGAACAGATCGTACAAAAACAGGTCTACCTCCCAATCTGAACCCTGGGTCTGTACCTAATCTGAACCCTGGGTCTGTACCTAATCTGAACCCTGGGTCTGTACCTAATCTGAACCCTGGGTCTGTACCTAACCTGAACCCTGGGTGTGTACCTAATCTGAACCCTGGGTCTGTACCTAATCTGAACCCTGGGTCTGTACCTAATCTGAACCCTGTCTAAACCCTGGTTCTTCTAATGGTCTAAGTCATGGGTCTGTATTGAGCCTGAACCCTCGATCTTCCTCTAGGATGAACCCGCCGTCTTCCCCTAGTTTGAACCCTTGATCTTTCAATAGCCTGAACCCTTGGTCTTCAAATAGTCTGAACCCTCAGTCTGTATCTCGTCTGAATCCTGTCTAAATCCTGGTTCTTCTAATGGTCTAAATCATGGGTCTGTATCGAGTCTGAACCTTGCAGCTTCCTCTAGTCTGAGCCTCAGTCTTCCAGTATTCTGAGTGAGTGAGTGAGTTTAGTTTTTTGCCACACTAAGCAATATTCAAGCTATATGGCGGCGGTCTGTAAATAATCGAGTCTGGACCAGACAATCCAGGGATCAACAGCATGAACATCGATCTACGCAACTGGGACACAATGACATGTATCAACCCAGTCAGTGAGCCTGATCACCCGATCCCATCAAATAGTCTGAACCTTGAGTCTGTATCTAGGCTGAACACTGGGTCTTCCTCTAGCCATAACCCTAGGACTTCAAGTCTGAACCCTGGGTCTGTATCTAGGCTAAAAACCCTGGTTCTGTATCTAGGCTGAACCCTGGGTCTTCCTCTAGCCATAACCCTGGAACTTCATGTCTGAACCCTGGGTCTGTATCTAATCTGAACCCTGGGTCTGTATCTGGTCTCAACTCTGGATCTAAATCCTGTCTGGACCCTTAACCTGCCAGCAGTCTGTATTTTAATCACCTCTAGTCTGAACCCTGTGTCTTACTTGTGTCTGAACCCTTAATCTACCAGTAACCTGTATTCCGAATTCACCCCTTGTCTGAACCCTAGGTTCACCTCATTTTACACTCTTTTTCTACCTTGGTCAATCTCTAGTCCATTTCCAGGGCCTTACCTTGACCGACAAAATTAGAGTCCTGTAAATTATGACATGGTGAAGTGTACTGTAAGACTTCATCACTACTTTTATTACAGGAACTTCATATTTCTTGTCATGACTTTGGAATAATGAATATGACTGCGCGTTCCTTGGGATGCAATATATATTTCAGCCCATTGTCTAAGCTTGTATGTACTGGATGCACATTTCTCCGTTGCCTAAAACCCTGGCCCACTATGATGTCAATTAAACCAAACTAAAGGCAGTAGGATTAGAGATATAGTTCACTTTTTCCTTGTAAGGGGATTTACTTTTCATCCCTGCTGTGAGTTGTTCTTGCAAAAAAGTTCGGACTTCGTGTTTCAACCATGCAATAGAACTGAAGCCAAGAACCTTTTACTATGGCCAACAAAAACAGATTAGAATTCACTGGGGATGCCGTGATACATAGATACTTTTTCTAAGACGATAGAATTATCGATACATTCAAAACTTTATCAATATTTAGTTTTGAAAGTATCGGATTAAATATGTTTATGTATCATTTACATTTTGCAATTGTATCATGTTTTTGTTATGAGAGTTTTAAATGGTTATTTTTCATGCACAAACATGGGAAATTAGAACTTTTTAATCTCTGAGAATAAAAAAATGTTGATCTTTTCATGGACAATTATAAAATATGACATTTTAATGTTCAAAATGTAACTAAATTTACGCAATAATGCTGCGAAAATAGGTATCATGATACGTATCAAATCGTGATATGGGTATCATGATACGCATCTATTCATGAAACTTGTGTATCGTGACATCCCTAGAATTCACCATGCTAAGCATCAATTTCCTTATACTAACACAACATACGCTTACACAGAACATTTAACAAATACCGTATATGACCGTCTATAAGTCGAATTTTGAGGACAAAAAAGCAGTCTGTAGAAGGGGGTCGTCTTATCCATGGGTTACGTTTTCGTCAAACTTTTTTCCAGGGGTAAGAAAACAAAATCGTATCACTTCGCGTGAACAAACAACAGAAGATGACTTTGTCAGTAGAGACGTCAAATTTGCAATTAAACATCACTAGACAAGATTATTTACCTTTTAAGTTATAAGTTGTTTTTGCTGGGCATTGTATTATTTGCAGGGATTAAGATTACCGTGTGTATCTGAGCCGAAAATAGCAATCAGCTGTGCACACGTTTCCCTGCAAAGAAATATATCCTAGCGAACAAGTTCAAACATGCACAATAATATAACGGGACGAATTCTGACGCAGTCATCAGTAAAATATAATACAGAATACCATTATTTAACCCAAAGAAATATATCCTAGCATTGTGTAATTTTAGTTACAGTTTTTGCTCTATAAATTAATTAAGATTAAGATTACCGTGTGTATTTGAGCCGTAAATAGCAATCAGCTGCATTTTTGCACACGTTTCCCGGCGATCAAGTTCAAACATGCACAATAATATAACGGGACGAATTCTGACGCAGTCATCAGTAAAATATAATACAGAGTACTATTATTTAACCCAAAGAAATATAACCTAGCATTGTGTAATTTTAATTACAGTTTTTATGTAAAATATATATAAACAACGCTAAGGTTATACGGACCCTCATGAACGTGGTAAGCACGGAATGGGGTAAAATACGGAAGCCATTTAAATTCACACAGTTTTACCGATGTTACTGTAAACTAGCAGTCAATGGAAAACTAGGTGGTAATCAGTATGTGATTGTTGAATGGGGTAAAATAAGCAAGCCAGTTTGTTGCTACAATAAATATGATATTTAGAGAAGCAAAATATATTATACAATTTCTGTCAACTACACTTCGTTTTGATCCGTGAGTAGACACAATATATATGATTGTGAATTCTTTGAATAATGAAGACCAAAGTTATAATTATTGGTAACTGCCAGTTGTCTGTGGTCTGTGTTTGCCGCGATTAGGACCCCATCGCGAGGGATCGACTTATGCACGAAACATACCATTTTGACACTGATTTTAAGGGTCAAGTTTGGGGGTCGTCTTATCCATGGGGTCGTCTTATAGACGGTCATATACGGTATGTTGTTTTGACCAATTAATGGTGTTTCCTGTTAGAGTGAGTGAGTGAGTGAGTTTACACCGCTTTTAGCAGTTTTCCACCAATATCACAGCCAGGGACACCAGAAATTGTACCCATGTGGCGAATCGAACACGGGTCTTCGGTGTGGCGAGTGAACGCTACCAGGCTACCACTAGGCTACCACTAGGCTACCACTAGGCTACCCCACCGCCTGTTATACATAAACCAAGTCACAATCCCTCGATCCACATTCTGGCACAAGTCAGAACCTTGATCTGACCCAAGTGTCTAGAACACATGGTATTCAAGGAGGAAAAACATGTTCCATTCACCAACAATAACCCATTTGCTATGAGCATACACCCTGTTCCACAATTTATCAATACCACAATTTTTGACAAAATAGGTGACTTCATTATTTGAAAGGTATACATTTTCAAACACGAGTTGTCAAACATCACACACTGGATGCCAACGGTTTTTATGCTGCTTCAGAAAATAATGCAGCAACATCCCGGAGGGGATCAGGAATCACAGGAAACACTGCACATATTTGTGGGTCCAATCTGGATCATGAACATGACAAGAGAATGCTTTAACCACTAGACTACCCCATTGAATACAGGGCTATACCACCTTTAATTTTGGTCCTTGGTGCATAGCGTCAACTAATGTTGAAGAATACAATTTTCAGCTTGTCCTGCATGGGGTACAGCAGTGTTTGAACTTAACTCAAGTGCCCAAATATTTCATGCATCATATACAGAGGTGTCTCAAAGTAATGGGTTTTTTTGCTGCTATAGTACTTGAATCTAGAGACACCAAAATCTTTTACCAAAATCTTTTATTAACATTCAGGTTGTGACAAGGACCCCATTAACTTTCACGTTTAATTTGAACACTTTTTTGGACTAGACAGGTGCACGAGGTTAGTCCAGACACAATTACATACTTATACACTACTAAATTTATCACATGTCTATGCCAGTTTCATAAATGTTCATAAGGGTGATTTTTTCTCAAATTGTTCTCTAATTTGGTTTTATAAGACAAATATGTAGCACTTTTCTTGTGCTTGATTAAAATTCACATTACAAAGGGCAGATTTCAGGCAACTGGCTTATATAAACACTGCGATGTATTATATTTATCTTACATACATATCACATTTAACCTCCACTTCATATTCTGGACATGGATGGTTTTCATTTATAAATCAGTTTCCAGGAGCAAATCAAAATTACAAATAGACAACATTAGTTTGGATAGAAATATATCTGCATATATATTCATTTATAATGCTACATTATATAAAGATATATTCACCTTCCTGAGTGGAATTATAACGCTGTATTCCCTTTGTAAGGCACTGTTAGCAGTAGCACACAGGAGACCTCAGTAACATATCCAGCTTGAAGTTTTCAAATCAGGATTTAAATGCAAAATTTGATGTAACATTCCTATAACTTGATGATTGTGACCTGGGTTTTACGTTTATGCATCAGTCAACCGTTATCACAGTTAAATGGCTGGACACATCACCACATGGTTGTAAGCTTGGTGACTCGACTCCTCTAGGCAACATACAATAGCACAAGAGTAAACTGTCATGGCAATACACGTCAAGTAATAATGTGATAATCTGACTTACAGTCAGTTAAGCGAAACAAATTAACTTTTTCTATAATATAGAAAAGAGATGATTCACCCACCTGTGAAGAGTTGGAACGACACCATGCGTTACTGTGACTTATGCGGTTACACTTTTCATGAAAGAACAGGTGCTCCTCTGAAACTGAATGCCTTGCTGAACTTGCAAAAGCAGTCACTTTACTGTCATTGTTTTTCAACATCCCGGCTGAAGCCTCACTTTGGTTACAATGATACAGTGGAATCATCAGACCTGGTTCTCGACAAAAGCCCTGCGACAGGTAGCTACCCCCTGGGGCATTTAGGCGTGGTTGCTTTGTGGGGGGTGGGGACAGCACAGGGGGTGAGAACAGTTCAAGAGATGAAGCATGTAATAGTGGAGGTGGCGTAACACCAGTTGGAAAGTGGGCTGGTTTCAAGAAATTGTTGTCGCGGTAACCGAGCTCCACCCGCATCTCAAGCATGTCGGCAGTGATACTTTAATACCAGCAAAATCGAGATCGTAAAGTTCGGGAAAGTCTTATAGACTGAAACCAAAAAATTGAAAATTTTAGATGAGTTTTCCTATGTTTATATGTACAAAAATACACTTCAGGTACAACATTAATTTAAGCAGAAACACTGCATAAACAAATATGCAAAATTTTAAACCAGAATGTACCCAAACATTAACATCAAATATGAACTGCTATATGTGGTCTGATCAAGACAAACAGATTAAAATCATTTAGCAATACTGATAGCCTGGCAATCATAACATAAACAGCGAGATTTTCCCCACAATCATATCTTGAAAAATCTCTGGCAATAAACTGGTTTCAAACACTGACCAAGGAAACAAGCCTCCATATATCCTGGCTCACTGACACACTTTACAAGGTGTCATAACAGCTGACAGTTGTTACCACATGAGCAAAAACAGTAAGCCAATCACATGTCAGTATGAAACAATCCCTATGATAACAAACACAAAGAACAAAAATGCAGATTTTAAATTTTTCATGGGTAATAGGATTCAGCAATAAATGTATCCTAGCTTTCCAGGATTACCTTCATGGCAGGCAACAAATATAAGTGAAATCATTTTCAAAAATAATAAATCATGATAAATACTTCAACAATTCAAAACCAAGCAACTACCTTACTGAGACCTGAACTTCGTCAACCTAGAGTCTTAATCAAGTATTCCCTTGAAATCAGATATCCATTTCATGAGTGCCTTTATATATAAAAACAAGTGACAAAAGTTAACAGATCATTCCGGTTACAGGCCTTCAACAACACAGTGGAAACTCTTGCATCTCACAAGCTGAACTCCAGCATAGGACCAGTATCCCTGGACATTACGAGGCTTATCGTCATACCATGTGATATCAGTCGTAGCCACATGTAAGAACTCATTATGCGAGCATAGCGAATGGTCGTAGTGGGTCAAGTTTGTGTGAGTGCCAGCCCGCTGACTGCTTGCCTGCACACCAGTTGACTGGAGGGTTGCTCTGCACGACCTGAGCATGATCTGTAATCATATGGCGATATAGATTTCATTACGGCCACACGGGCAAGGGGGTTCGTTTGTTTACTTCATTTACTCCTATTGATTATTGGGTTCCACCATCTCTGGTTTTAGCATTTCTATACAGATACAATATTGCCAGGGTTGATGTTGCATAGAACTGCTTCACATCTCAGTTTTGAGCATACACAATCATGGGCAACAAAAGTTGCTGTTTTAAGACCAGTTTTTTCATTTCAATGAATTCTGTAAAATACAAAACTTTGAACCTAATGATATTGGTTGCACAGATTGACAAAATAGGTTCTGATTTAGGCCACAGATACATATTAATTCCAGAAAATACAAACTTCTCAGAAACAAAGGGTGAATATCATTAAACAATAAACTCATGTGGATCTCAAGAAATTGTTATGATTTGTATTAGAAATAAAGAACAGTGTACTCGAGAAACCCATGTACAGGGCACATGGATAACTTAATGTGCAGGGCACCTAGGTCAACTTAATAAACATAATAAAGACCCTTCACTATGCTCGGATTCATACCACCACTCAAATTGAGTAACTTTCTGTTCATAGATGGCCAGATTCATGACTGCTACATGGTGATCAAGTTTTGACAATCTATTTAAAAGAAATAACTTGAAATACCCATGAACCCTAATTCCACAAAGGAAATAACACAGAACTCATCCGGAATGAGTATGGACACAATAATGTCTGCAGTTGAAAATAATGACAAGAAAAACAACAACAAAAAACAATAAGACTGGATCAAAATAATAACTGTGCAAACCATGTTTTAATTTGTGTTTCAATGAGGCAGGTAAAGACAGTTTAAATGAGAGAGGCCAATGCGTAGTGATTGAAGCCTTCCTGCAGCATTCAACAAGCACAGATCTTGTAACAGAGGAGATTTAATCAATGCAAGTCATAGTCTTCTTGTCACTGAATCAAACAGCTGTCACCTGTCACCTGCTACAACATTTTCGAAAGAATTGCTTAAAAACATATTTCTGTAGACAATGCAGAACAAATAGAGGCCAGGTACTGAAGGTCATTTGCTGTATGTAGTCAACATTTTAACAACTACTCACTAGAAGTCAGCCTTGATATTTTCTGTGTGAACTTAACTTAAGAAAGGATCAGTGAGTGAGTGAGTTTAGTTTTAAGCTGCTTTTAGCAATATTCCAGTAATATCACTGCGGGGTGCACCAGAAATGAGCTTCACACATTGAACCCATGTGGGGAATCGAACCTGGGCCTACGACGTGACAAGCAAATGTTTTAACCACTAAGCTACCCCACTGCCCAGAAACGATCAGAACAAAACATGTTAACTTCATACTGAGACAAATATAAGCTGAAGTTCAGCTCCTGTAAACAAAGGGTCTTCAATTGTAATTTGTCAGGTAGTTCCATACCTAAAACATATCTGACCAATGCGATCGGCTGTATGCATAATATTACATAAAATATTCATATCAAAATATAAAATACTAAAATAGCATATTGTTGAAAATGTTAGTCCTGATAAAATATTATTTTCAGATACAATTCTTTTGCATCCACAGTAATTGAAGTTTTTTATTGGTTATGCAATGCAACTGAATCACTGGTAGATGTGAGCCGGCCAAGGTGACTGCTACTTCTGACTTTGTTTATGATAAAATACACACAATCTCTGTACATCAAACCATGCCTAACAGAAAAGGAGACATTCTTAAATTCATTATGTCTTGCAATACTTTATCTCAATTTTTTATTGACCAAGGTTGTTAATACTTTATAATAAATGACTTTGTTGAAGGGATATGATAAGTTATAGTCTGTGTATAATACTTGAAAATAATGTTTGTTCAAAATACTGACCCCCCTAGAATGCTGCAAAAATGGAACCTTCATGTAGAGTCCCTGTAACTACACATGTTGTAAAGTTCCTTTACATTTGGTACAACAAAGTGTGGGTATTGGCCATAAACAAGTTTTTCAACATAGCTAACATGAATCGGAAATGATCTTCTTACAGAAATTAGACTGTCTTGATAGGTGAGAACAACTGTGCAAGATTACAATTTCATTTGTCTAGTGGTTTGTAAAGAAAGAAATTTATAAGATGTGTGACTTATTGTGATTTCCATATCAAATCCAAGTACAAATCTCAATCACCAACTTTCAAGTAAGGAGATATTTTAATGTAAACATTTCTTAAATCGAAGATTGCTACCTTGTGTCCATATTGAAATTACAAGTTTGATGCCTTGACCAAATTTGAACCCACTTACAATACAATCCATGCAAGACTTAAACTGAATCCATCAGCATTCTTTAATAAACGTCAGCAATGTGAAGTTTATGGTTGATACTTATGTTGATGACTAGGGTTGGGTATTGCCACAATTTTCGTATTGCGATATGTATTGCAATGTATTGTGAAAGTGTAACACATGATGTAAGGTAATGACATTACTGTTTCCTTTATTTTGAAACAACACTCAGATGTCATTGTACAAGAGATCAATTGAAAATGTTTCCAAATTAAGACCTTGCTTCAAAGTTTGGGACTCGAGGAAAAGCGTCTGCAGCGGCGTCCGCCATTTTGGTTTACCTATCCTTACAACGAGTTCTGGTACCAATCTATTTTTTTTTTATATGGTTTAAAAGACACGCAAATGCAATTATATGACCAATACACATTCTCAAAACTATTAATGTGTGATAATATAAACAAAATACAAATGTTATTAGAGGTTTTAACTACATCAATAAAATTACCGATCGTATCGGGTGAACCGGTTCGCGAAATTGTACCACAATATATCGTATTGTGAAGCTCGAATAGCAATATAGCCGGTTAACCTGTATTATTGCCCACCCTTATTGATGACAATAGTGAATGGATACCAAGAAGAGATGACAGAGAGCATTCAATGACATATGGTTACATGACCCTTTACATCAGATGAGCTAAATTTAACAAATCTCAAATCCCAGTTAATTTTCATTTGTCAAATGCAATGATACCCGGACACAAAAAGGACATTACAAATGTTATCTAATGTTAGCCTAAAACTACTCATATCAAGGATATGACACATAGTACTGTGTTCAGAAAATGCAGAATAAATATATTTGGAGGTCCCTCAATTCAAAACATAAATACAATAAAACAAATACAAAAGATACCACCCACATCCAGATCTTTAACACTGCAGAGCAGGCTGTAGAGTCTCCAACATACATATTTCATTAAATGACCCAAGCATTGTTTGGCACATCAGACCTCATTAAAGATTTAGACAGATACCAAAATGGATGCCAATTAAGTGAACACAAATTGTAATCCTGTCATCATAAACATTTTTTGTAATTCCAGCAGCATTCAAAACCTGTCACACATTGTTTGCTTTTTAGGACCCTGGACGAATATATCAAACTATTTATCATTTCTAATTTGTCCATCCATAACAACAAAACGATACAACTGCAAATTCAGAATTTTAAGTTTTCAATATCTGATCTGTCGACTGCAAACACATTATTTTGAAGAAAGTTTAAAGTCTGTGTTAAATCTACCCAAATGAATTAATTAGAAAAATCCTGTTATCCAAAAGGTTTGGCTAGGAGTGAGCATGGTTTTACAGCATTCCAGCAATATCATGGCAGGGGACACCAAAAATGGGGCTTCACACATTGTACCCATGTTGGGAATACAACCCATGTCTTAAGAAATCAACCATTTGATATTATAGAACAAACTTTATGGATAACAACTTCTTTTATTCGTGAGTGTGACGTTTCGATACAGATTCTTGTAACGTCGCACTCACGAATACAAGAAGTTGTTATCCATAAAGTTTGTTCAATATTGTACTTCCCAACTTCTAAAATGCCACTCAAAGAAACCATTTGATTGTGTAAAGAGACTATGATTTCATACTCTTGCTCTTTTTCAGCCTAAAATATTTTTCACTAAGCCACATTGATGTGAGCGGCTACATCATA